ATAAACAATATTCATTTACCTTTTTATTTGATAATTATACATATTCAGAAATTAATAGCATAATCAGGGCCTTTCTAAGGTATTTAGGCTGCTAAGAATAATGCGTCCATCTTCATAAAAAAAAACGGGAGGTGAAGCAAAACTAAGTTTAAGCAATTAAAATGAGATAATTATATTAAAAATCACATCATTTGAAAAGGAAAAAACTGTTACATAAAACAATATAAGCAGCTGATTTTATATTATCATTTATAAAATATTATTGTTCTAAATTATATTAAAAAAAAATAAACAACAATTCTTCTATTATAGTATTTTTAAAAATTACTTTCATTTGCGATAAGAAACACCTGCGTTGTTATTAGACATCTACGTTTATAATGAAAACCTACGTTTTTATTGAACACCTGCATTTTTATTGAATACCTAAGTTTTTAGAACACCTGTGTAAATATTTGCGATAAGAAACACCTGCGATCTTATTGAACACCTTCGTTTTAATTGAATCATCATATAAGTGTGCAAAAAATGGTAGAAAGGTTAAATGTATAACACACAACAACTGAAAATAATTTAAATGTTATAAATCTCTATATGCAATGGATCTAAAAAAATAAACTTAACATAACGAATCGATATTTACAATATCCATCTCATGCCAATGAAAACGTCACTTTTTTCAAACAAATTATCAATGGTAATCCAAAATGGATCTTCTACAGTAACAGCAATCAAAATCGATCATGATCCAATTAAACATTTTTGATCTAAACAAAATTGTGTATTGTCAATATTTTTTCTGTGATTTTTTTTTTAATTGTTTACTAATCTATCATCTATGCGACATTTTAAATTATGTTTCAAGTTCATTCCTGATTTAATCATTGATGCATTTATTTCTAAAAAACTAATATTATCACCAATTATATATTGTCTGGCACTGACATTAGTCATTTTGTCAAAATGTCATTTTTATTAGAATTTCGATACTTTTCTACAATTTGTTTGATTGTTTAGTAATCTAGTATCTATGCAAGGTTTTAACCCATCGTTACTCGCGCAGCTTCTGTGAGACACCAGTGGGTACAAACTAACCATAACTTATTTTAATTTCTATCTATTCTTTTCTTATTAATGATAGTTCATAAAGTGAATGAATTACAAGAATTCAAATTATTCACTTCATCATTTCCAAGTTTGTCCTTTCATCCTCTTTGTTTGAGAGTATACAAATCTGTATACTCTCAAACATATATACTTTAAATCTTATAAATTCACTGTACAAATATTGTGTTTCCTATATGTTTTAGACAAATTTCATATCACAAAGAAAAATATAAATTTATGCACATAATATAATTAATTAATAACGAAAGTTGGAAACATAAAATAAAAAAACATGTTCAATATTATGGAAAACAATACGAAATGAAGATAACACGAAATATTGAACTTTAGTACCAAATAAGTAGAAACTCTATAATTATTATAGAACTATTTATTATATCAAAATTAAACTGTAATTAAAAAAAAACAAATTGACTTAATTTTATCAAGAAATATGTAACTTCTACATAAGAAATATTATTAAATTTACAACAAAACAAGAGCAACTGCATTCAGACTGATCTATCAAGCCAACTGGGGCAATATCCACCAATTAAAATGTCTATTGATACAATAAATCACAATGTGTTAAGATATAATACACCGATACAAAATAATTCTTTAATTTGATTACTGTCTAAAATTAAAAATAGTTTATTATTTAAAAAAAAATCAGACTTGAAAGGGTTAAGATTACATTGAATAAGAAATACATGTGTTTAATAATGAATAAATTAATCACTTTCAAATCGCAGTTCAATTATTAATTAAAAGGTACATATCTCGTGCGCATGTACATTTTTATATATTGGTTAATTCTAGTACAATGAACAAACATAATATAATGCATTTCCGAACAAGTATAAATACATAAATCTCGAAGCATTAAACCATCAGTTACTTCGCTCTCAGCTTTCGTGCTTTGAACGTGGTTCTCCAGTGAAATACAAACACATCACTTCACCATTTTCTTGATTAACTGTTTGAAAACGGTCTAAGTTTATTTGGAAATATGGAGGTCGACAAATGCGATAATGGAAATACTGAGGTGGAGAGTTGCTGTAATGAAAATACAGATGTGGATAATTGCTGTAATGAAAATACAGATGTGGATAATTGCTTATAATGAAGATACAGATGAGGATAATAGCGATACTGAAAATACCGAGGTGGATAAATGTTGTGGTATGTTATTTTTTTGTTATAAATTACAAATTTTGGAATTTGTCATTGTTCTAAAAACGCAATTTCAGGACCCGGTTATGCAACTCCCATGGACGCTTTTCTCCACGGCAAAAGGGAAAAACTGCTGTACGTGATTTGCGTTCAACCGAATCCGGAAGGTTATAAATCCGATATCTTGTCCACCGTTGATGTCAACCCAAAGTCAAAGACTTACCAACAGGTATAAAACTATAATTGTAAATTTGTAGAAACTTGTTAAATAATTTCAATTTGTTTAGATCATCCACACGTTGCCAACTGGCAAAATCAACGATGAGATCCATCACTCAGGATGGAACACCTGTTCCAGTTGCCATGGTAAGAAAGCGCACGTCCGCGACAAGTTGATCTTGCCGTGCTTGGGATCCGACAGGGTTATTATCGTGGAAACAGGAAAGAAGCCGCGTTCTCCCAGCATCCACAAGATCATCGACTCCAGTGACATGCATAAATACAACTGCGCGAGTCCACACACCAGCCACTGCTTGGCTAACGGTGACGTCATGATCAGCACTTTGGGAGATCCCGCAGGCAACAGCAAGGGCGCGTTCATGCTCTACGACGGGAAAAC